ACAGAGAGGCAGGGGCAGGGACCAGGTGGAAAAACGGGTCTTGAATTATAAACACCAGAGTTCAAAGATAAGTCATTCAGGCTAAAGTACATATTATTGGATTTATAGCCAAAAACTGTCACCCTAATGATAAAGACTGTGCTATCATTTAAATGTGAAGGAAATTTACCCTTAAAATCAGTGTTTTCTGAGCAGTGTTTGCTATTAGTTTGTGCCTCAAGAGGGACCTCACAAGGATGTTGCTTCGGTGATCCCTTTTTCCACCCAAGTCTGGTGTTGCCTGGCTGGACATTGGGGACAGGTTCTTTTTGTACCTGGGCCCTTGAGTAGGGTCTCTCTGGGTACGTGAACAGGTGCCACATATTCTTTCTCTAGGAAAATGGACAGGCAGCTGGAACATGGAAAACTTGGCATTTTAGCCCCACCAGGCATCGTGTGTACAGGAGTCTAGATAGTAAACTCCTTTAGACACAATGTTAGAAGTTTGGAATTAATAAAATATTTAATGTGCTCCTTGAAGCGTTTGTTTTTGAAAGGAAAATTGACGTAAACTAAACTTCCACAGACATGTTTTAGAAGTGACTGTTTCCAGTAGATTTTCAATGATGTCTTTGTATACACTCAGCTGTGACTATAAAATATGACACACATACTTTATAAACCTGTTAGTGTAAAGTTTTCACCCTGACCTGAAATGTTTAGTATCACTCAGAATACGCGAGTCACGAAGCTAACAGGCTGCAATGTGTGCAGCGCTGCTGCCCTTCCCGTGCAGGAGGCCACTGTCTGCAGGGTCCGGTGCTTTCCCGTCCTGGGCTAGGGTGGGTGAGCAGAGCAGCCTGGACCGCCTGCAGCCACCGTGTCCTCTGGACCCCTCTCTGCACCATGCCCACCTGCTCCAGGTCCCCACACCATGCCGTGCAGCGGCTGTGACAGTGTTTAAAATCCTTTCCTGTCTTAGATTTCTTAGTCATTTTAGGGAGGAAGTGCTGTGCTTTATGTCAAGATGAAACACAACACCTGATTCCTTACCTGGCTCTGCTGGGGCTTAGGAAGGTGGGCTCGTTAAGGTGGGCTCCGCTGCCTGCAGCTTCTGTCCGGGCCTGGCCCCTGCAGCTGCGACACACCGCCATCTGGTGGACGCGAGTGGGGCTGCGTGGCTTTCCACGGGGCTGAACAGCCTTCCTGTTTCGGGAAAGCTGACAAATTCCTTTTTCATTCGGAAGACACACAAAATGAAATTTACTCTACTGTGTAAAACAGAGATAGGTTAAACGTTCATTGCCATCACCTTTCATCAAGAGCTTAATTTTTAATTTTTCTCTGCATGGTCTCTACTTAAAAATATGGCCCGATTTTATTTTGAGTCCGTCACACGTTCTTCGGAGCAAGGACTTTTTTAAAATGATAGAAACAGCAAACTATGGTTTTTGGGGTTTTTCCCCTTATTTGATACTTTACAAATTGTAAAAACAATAGATGTAGACGGTTATCGTTAAAGCCATGCAGAACAAAGATGTGTTAAAGCTGTGTCCTCCCAAAATCAAAGTTTATGGACCCCCTGTTTATTCTCTCTCAGCTTTCTTGCAAGAAATACCAGAAAGAAAAAAAGACTTAGGTAGGCCCTTCTTTTACGGGCACCGGTATCTTTGTAGGTAAACGAATGCACTCCTTGAGCTTCGTTTATTTCTCCACAATATTTATCCATTGCTGACCAGCAGCCTGAAAACACTCGTTTTACACCGTGGAGCAAAAATGCCGCAGGCTTCTCAGTGGTAACTTGGCAGTCTATTAAACTGGATTTTCCTATCCCACCAAGAGTTAAACTAGCCTCTTTATTTTCATCTTGTTAATATTTGTTCTGCAAACTAACTTACTCTAAGGAATAAAGGCTTTGGGCCCAGGAGATTTAATGAATTTATTCTCCAGGAAACTAAGTGCTAGATAATTCACATTTCCTTGTTACTTGAAATTTTATTTATTTTATTTTATTTGTTATTTTTTTTGAGACAGAGTTACACTCTGTCGCCCAGGCTGGATTGCAGTGGCATGATCTCAGCTCACTGCAACCTCCGCCTCCTGGGTTCAAGAGATTCTCCTGCCTCAGCCTCCTGTGTAGCTGGGATTACAGGCACATGTCACCACACCCAGCTAATCTTTGTAATTTTAGTAGAGGCGGGGTTTCGCCATGTTGGCCACCTTGGTCTCCAACTCCTGACCTCAAGTGATCTGCCCGCCTCGGCCTCCCAAAGTACTGGGATTACATACATGAGCCACCGCACCTGGCCTTGAACTTTTGATTTGGAAACATTTCAGGAATATTTTTATTCCCACGTGAAGAAAAAAACCACACTTGAATTGCTCCAGTCATCCTCACACCTCCGAACATGGCTACAGGGCTTCTGGGGCTCTGCTGGATGAGATGGTGCCCATCCGATCAGAGTCTGCCTTGTACCCATCTGATCAGAGTCTGCCTTGGTACCCGTCTGATCAGAGTCTGCCTTGTGAGATGGTGCCCATCCGATCAGAGTCTGCCTTGTACCCATCTGATCAGAGTCTGCCTTGGTACCCGTCTGATCAGAGTCTGCCTTGGTACCCGTCTGATCAGAGTCTGCCTGGTACCTGTCTGATCAGAGTCTGCCTTGGTACCCGCCTGACTATCTGCCTTGTACCTGCCTTTGACTGGTCTGCCTGGGTACCCAGCCTGATCAGAGTCTGTCTTATACCCATCTGATCAGAGTCTGCCTGTACCCGCCTGATCAGAGTCTGCCTTGTACTCCATCCGATCAGAGTCAGCCTTGGTACCATCTGATCAGAGTCTGCCTTGGTACTCATCTGATCAGAGCCCAGTTTGTACCCATCTGATCAGAGTCTGCTCTGTACCCGTCTGATCAGAGTCTGCCTTGGTACCCCATCTGACTGTGAGTCTGCCTGTACCCATCTGATCAGAGTCTGCCTTTGTACCATTTGATCAGGAGTCTGCCTTGGGTACCTGATCTGATCAGAAATGCCTGGTACCTGTCTGATCAGAGTCTGCCTTGGTACCTGGCTCAATTCAGAGTCTTGCTCTGTACCTTCCTGTCTGACTGTGTCTGATCAGAGTCTGTCTTATACCCATCTGATCAGAGTCTGCCTTGGTACTCATCTGACCGGAGTTTCCCTTGGTGCCCATCTGATCAGAGTCTACCTTGGTGCCTCCAAGTACACAGTTAGGCTGATGTGGCATGCACATCTGAAATAATAACTCTAGATGTGCATTTTGACACGTCAGCAAATGCAGGTGGTGTGGGCCACAGCTGGAGAGAGCCGTCTTCACTGCAGTATAGCTGGGCTGCACCCAGCGTGAGAATGGACATCAGGGAGGAGAGCTGTAAGCCCCTGGGATTGTGGACAGCTCCCATGAACACATGGTCTTAAACAGGGCCTTGGGTGGGTCCTTAGCAGCTGTGGCTAAGTGGGCAGAGGGACCACCCCACCACCACCCTGCCCAAAGGGCTTATTTAGCAAAGAGGGGAGAGAGGCCAGCCTGCCCCTGGCTGCATCCTACTGGCCTGAAAGATGTGGCCTCTCTGCCCCCATTTCCGCTCCTGCTCTTGGGACACAGGAGACTGGTTCAATGAGAGTAGAAAGTTTATTTTTGAAGACCCGGGTGTAGGGTGGGTGGGTGAGACCGTGTGATGGCTTTGGGAGCCAGGCCGCAGGGCTTAGCTTGGATCTGTTGAGTAGGAGACCCTTGAACATGGCCACCCTGAGCTAAGCACTGGTCTTCGATTTTGCTTTCTTTTGGATTAACCGAGTATTTTGTGGGATTCCATTTGATCCCTTAACTGGCTGACCAGCTGTGACTCCTGGTTATGTTGTTTTAGTGCTGCTCCAGGTGTCCTTGGAGGAGAAGTTGAAGGTACAAGGAGTTTGCAGGAGGGAAGGTGGCAGTTAGTGAGCCTTCCTGGTGGGGCCGGATGGTGAAGGCAGGGGCATCTGGTCCAGCGTGGACTCGGGCCACAGATGGAAAGTGGTCATTTGGAGGTCACCATCTCTCTGGCACCCTGGCCATAGCACCTGCAGCCCTGTACTGAGCTGCTGGTCCCCAGCACCAGCGTCTGTGCAGATCAAGTGTTGGTGAGCCGTGGCCTTGGCAGCTCTCCATCAGGATTTCTCAAGCTTCATTCTGAATTATCTCTGTGTGAGCTCACAAGGGTGACTGCAGAATCCCAGGTCACCGCTCAGATCTGCTGAATCAAGCATATGGTCTGCAGTTGCCGGGCATGTCTTTGGCTGATTTTCTGACAACCAAAGTGAAAAAGTTCTGAGCTATAGGAAGCTGGGTTGAAGACATGATGAGGAAAACGTGATTAGTTGACAGCTTTTCCCAGAGAGTTTGGAGACAAACTCAATCTTGGTAACCTTCCCAGTGGGTTTATGATAAGAACATTCAATGTGCGAAAAAAAAAAAAAAAGCAGCACTCCAGGTAGTTAATATTTGTTTAAACAACCCTCCCCCACCCTGAGCCCCACAAAAAAAAAAAAAAAAAAAAAAGGAAAGAGAAAAAAAAAAGCCTGTCTTTTGTTGGGTCCTGAGCCAAGAAAGAAGTAACCCCACTACCAGCCTCTGCCTCTTGTCCTAAGACATCCTCATGTTGCAGGGCCATCTCCAGGGTCCGTTCCTCATGTGCACCCCCTCTTGTAGTTCCACAGCCTGCTGTGGGTCCCAGTGAGACTCCTACCTGAGGACAGGAGAAGAGGGTCCTCAGGGATGTCCAAATGAGGACAGGAGAAGAAGGGGCCTCACAGACGTCCAAGTAGGAGAAGTGGGAAAAGCCAAATTTGGAGGGTCCCACTTTTCTGCTTCTAAATTACGAAGGAAGCGAATGTTTTGTTTGTGTGTGTGTATTTGTTTTTTTGTTTTGTTTTGTTTTGTTTTATCATTCTTAGCCCCTATCTTCATGTTATCCATTTAACGCTTTTAAAGTATTTAATATGTTGTCCATTTTCCTCTACAGGTAGAAGACAGACCAGAAAAAGATTTTACTGAGAAGGTAAGGAATCGTTCATAAACCTAGAGGGTCCCGAAAGTTGTGGATGAAATTGATAAGAAAATATGTTGCTTGGTCTTTTTAATAAAGATGTTCTCCAGTGAGGGAATGGACTAGAAAGCGGCCCACCTAACCTGGCATCACCTCCCTGTAGGTAGGCCACCGGGAGTCCTGTCCAGTGTGCGTTAGACCCTGCAGAGCAGGGAGGCGTTTAGGATGGGCCCCGCCGTGGAGTTTAGGGTTAATCCAGCTGACCACAGAGCATCCAGGAGGTGCCTGGAAATGATCCTCTCCTTATAGCTTACCATAAGTCCATGAAGAGCTTCTAATTTGGAAACGGAATTAAAGTAACAGTCCTGTGATGTTAAATTTACATGCAGTTTTGGTTTTGTCTAAAATCGCATCTGGGTTAGTCCGTTCTCACACTGCCATAAAGAACTTTCCTAAGACTGGGTAATTTACAAAGAAAAGAGCTTTAATTGACTCACAGTTCCACATGGCTGGGGAGACCTCAGGAAACTTACGATCATGGTGAAAAGAGAAGCAGGCACCTTCTTCACAAGGCCACAGGAGAGAGAACATTTGAAGGAGGAACTGTCGAACACTTACAAAACCATCAGATCTCCTGAGAGCCCACTCACTATCATGAGAACAGCATGGGGGAAACTGCCCCCGTGATCCAGTCACCTCCCACCAGGTCCCTCCCTCACCCTGTGGGGACTATGGGGATTATAATTCCAGATGAGATTTGGGTGGGGACACCCATATCAGCATCTGATCCTCTCAACGTTCCAGGGGTCTCGTAACATGCCAGGCCTGTCTGCAGCCACACTGGCCTCTCTGGGTGGGACTTCCTCTCGGAGAGGCAGCGGAGACACCTCCATCTCCATCGACACCGAGGCGTCCATCAGGGAAATCAAGGTGAGATGCTCTCTTCTTACGACTTGAGAGAACCTTTTGTAAAAATCAGTCTTTAGATTTAAAAAACAAACAAAAAAAGACTTAATTCATAAAGTTCTGGATGTTTCTTCTTGGTCTTATCTCCCTCACCTCCCCTAAAATATGGTGTTCTCCTAACATCAAGACCCAGCTCACATAGTGTCTCCTGCAGGAATCTGATCCTACCCACTGACCCCACAGCAGGGCGGACTGTGTGCTGGCCTCCTGTGCCTCTCAGCACCCCGGGCATACCTTAGTGAGAGCACTAGGCACGTTGTGTTGATGCGCTTGGTCGTCTCTGTGTGCTTCGTCGTCTCTGTGTGCTTGTTGTCTCTGTGTGCTTGGTCTGCGTAGACATTCAGTCCACGTGTTTGGACACCAGACGGCTTTACCTACTTTCACACAACCTTCCCCGCTAAGTATGTTCCCCTTCAGCCTAGAACATGCCCTTTCCTTTCTCTTTGTAATATGCCTTTAGTAGACCTCATCTTTGTATTTTAATGATTTCTTTTTTCCCGCTGTAGTGTAGGTATTATTTTCTGCTCTATCCTCAGCACCCAGGACAGTGCCAGGCATTTGGTAGCATTCCATGCATTAGAGAGAAACATGGTGCTATTTGTTAAAGTAACTAGGGACAGTGCATCTGAAAACCTGAAGACTGGAAGGGAAGGTGAGGTGACTAGACCTGTGTCCTCCAGGGAGCAGAACCAAGACAGAAGCAGCTGAAAGGGGCCAGAATTGACTCTGTTTCTGAATTTTCTAGTGCTTTAAACTAAGTTTAAAAGAGAAGCAGCTCTCACTGGGGATGTCTGAGCAGCTGCATGGCCATTTGCCAGGGAGGACAGATAGGGATTTAAGCATCCACCAGAGGTTGGCCGGGGTCACCTTGAAGGTGCTTCCAACACCTATGTTTTATAAGTTTACAAAACCAGAAGAGCCGTTTCCCATGTGCCACCCCTGGGCCACCTGCAGCTCCTCATTGCTTTCCATTTTTTTCCTTTTTCTTTTCTTTTCTTTTCTTTTCTTTCTTTTTTTTTTTTTTTTTTGAGACAGAGTTTCGCTGTTGTCGTCTAGGCTGGAGTACAGTGGCACACTCTTGGCTGACTGCAACCTCCACCTCCTGGGTTCAAGCGATTCTCCAGCCTCAGCCTCCTGAGTAGCTGGGATTACAGGCGCCTGCCACCATACCCAGCTAATTTTTGTATTTTTGGTGGAGACGGGGTTTCGCCATGTTAGCCAGGCTGGTCTTGAACTCCTGACCTCAGGTGATCCGCCCACCTCGGCCTCCCAAAGTGCTGGGATTCCAGGCGTGAGCCACTATGCCTGGCCTGTTGTTTCCCTTTCTACAGCAGAGTTGGTGGCAGTCCTGATGTTTGTCTGCCCTTAGGTTGTGCCTGCCGTTCATTTGTTCAGGTACTTACTCAGAGGCTGGCTCGTGCCAGATGCTGTTCCAGGCACCAATAATTTGGCAAAGTAGAGACTTGGAGCTCCATAAATGCAGGGGAAAAGTGTTGCTGATTTCTGCCTCTAGCATCTCACTGTATCTTGCAGAGTAGGAACTCCAGGTGCTTGAATGAATTACTAAATAGGAGTTGAAATAACCTGTACCATTTTCAGAAGCTCTATTTTGCCTGTTTTTTAAACTGTGTAAAATCATATGAGATATACCAGGATTGCATAAAATCATGTAAAAATATCATGTGGGATACACCTGAACTTTAATCTTTAAATATTGAAGTTTATTTTCCTTTAACACTTAATAAAAAAGAAAATTGGGTGCTCAGACTACCCAAGTAGAAAGTACCCTGAAGTATGAAAGATTTAGGGAGTCACCTGTTTTCCCTTGACATCATCTGCCTTTTCTGCCATTTCCCCCAGGAACTCAACGAGTTAAAGGACCAGATTCAGGATGTAGAAGGCAAATACATGCAGGGGTTGAAAGAGATGAAGGTACCAATTCACAGAAGTGTGGTCTCACCATATTAACCCAACTTCACTTAAAAAAAACCAAAATCCTAAAGAAGAAATTGAAAGTGCATGCTTCCTGTGAAGAGGCTCCAGGTTGTAGAAGAACTCACAATGGCAGGAATGCCGGGTGTACGCTCACCATTTTCCCAAATGCGTTGTTTGAACCAAGACTTGAAAATGTAACTCCCCAGTAGAAAAGGTCACTAACATACTCCCTGACGCATGTCTTGTACTCACCATCCTTCTCTCAGGCTTCAAACCAGTTTCTTATTTCCCATAGGCGTGTACCAGACACTTGAAGGTTTGGTTTTCTTCACTTTTTGTAGTAGCTGTATACAAAAATGCTTAGGTTGATTTGCTTCTCAAAATATCTGATGTCTACTAATAAGGCCATCCTCACATGCCACACTTTGGAAACATCCCAATTATTTGCGTCCTATAAAATGCTGCTAATTGAAGTAAAGACTGACTGTGGCATTGGCTTTCAGCATGTGCACACTGCTTTTAGAGTGTGCAGTGACTTCATTGCACCAGCCAGGAGATGTGGTTGCCCTGTTCCTTGACAGTAAGGTGAGCAATCAGTGACTGTCTTCATTAGGCAACAGCAGATTGTGGATCTGGAAGTAGGTGGCAAATCTGTTACTCCCTTTTCAGCCCCCTAGAAAGTACCTGAGAGATCGTCTGAATTTAATATCAAAGAGCACCAGACAGAGGAGGTAACATCAATCATGACTAATTCATTATCTTCATATCTGTCACCTTTCCTGAAAGGGGGAAAAATAAGACTCTGGCTTTCAATTCATGTGAAAAAGGGAGCCCCTTGGCCAGGCGCAGTGGCTCATGCCTGTAATTCCACACTTTGGGAGGCCGAGGCGGGTGTATCACCTGAGGTCAGGAGTTTGAGACCAGCCTGGCCAACATGGCAAAACCCCGTTTCTACTAAAAATATAAAAATTAGCTGGGTGTGGTGGCGCACACCTGTAATCCCAGCTACTCGGGAGGCTGAGTCAGGAGAATCACTTGAACCCGGGAGGTGGAGGCTGCAGTGAGCCGAGATTGTGCCACTGCACTCCAGCAGACTGAGACACTGTCTCAAAAAAAAAAAATTTAAAAAAGCTGGTGGGGAGCCACTGAAGCAACCAGAGACCCACTGGTCCCACCTGAAACAGCTGTCCTGGTGTGGAGGTGCAGAGCTAGACCAGCACTGGTCCCTCCAGCCTCCTCGTAGCCTCTGCTGCACCTGAACAGGCAGCTCCTGCCTCTGCCTCTAGCTCTGCATGTATGCGCCCTGATGGTTCTGCTCTCTCTGTTCTGAAATCGCCTTAGCCTCCTCATGTTGGGGACCTGCAAGGGTGTGAGGCAAGTGAGGGCATTGCCATGCATATTTTACAGGCCTCTTTCTCTGGACTGTCCTTCAAAGGGAATGACCTTTGTCTTTCCAGGACCTACCCCGTGAGATCTGCATGCCATTTTCCTATGGGTCAAAAATCTGAAATCACTACTACTCCTTTCCTGATTCATAAGCCAGAGTAGGGCTGGTTGGCGGTCACTGTGGCTTGTGGCCCTGGGTGATTATCTCAGCCATCACACACTGGCTCTTTCACAGGGGTTGGTCACATGCCTCTAGCGATTCTTCAGAAATCTGTTGAACAGCCTGACATCCAGCCCTAGGACACCATGCTGGGAGGATTCCCTAGCTACTGAGTGGGGCCAGAGACTCTACTGCCTCTGTGACAACATCCCTTTCCATACTGGTGTCTCGTTTGTTCTAATGAGTGTGTACATTGCTTTTACTAGCGAATTTTCTGAGCAATGAGAATTTGACCAAATTGAAAAGGGGAATTTCCGTGCATTTGAAGTTGCCATGTGTTTCTTCCTCTGATCCATTTGATCTAAGAAATATAGTCTAAGTTTAGGACTGAGGGTTTTTTTTAACAGAATACTGAATGATTCTTTGTTTTGATTTTTTTATTGCAATTTCAAAAATATGACCTGCTTTCCACAGGACTCTCTAGCAGAAGTTGAAGAGAAATATAAGAAGGCTATGGTTTCCAATGCTCAGCTAGACAATGAAAAGACAAACTTCATGTACCAGGTTGATACCCTAAAAGATATGTTGCTGGAGCTTGAAGAACAGCTGGCTGAATCTAGGCGGCAGTACGAAGAGAAAAACAAAGTAAGCGTTAGTATGATGCAGAATATTAGGATAGGCTGGATGCAGTGGCCCATGCCCGTAATCCCAGTACTTCGGGAGGCCAAGGTGGGAGGATTACTTGAGCCCAGGAGTTCGAGACCAGCCTGAGCAACGTGGCGCGACATCATTTCTAAAAAAATTAAAACAATTAGCCAGGTGGCACATGCCTGTAGTCCCAGCTACTTGGGAGGCTGAGGTGGGAGGATCACTTGAGTCTGGAAGGTTGAGGCTGTGATGAGCTGTGTTGATACCACTGCACTCCAGCTTGGGCAACAGAGAAGACCCTGTCTCAAAAAAAAAAAAAAAAAAAAGGCGAGTGGTAGGGGTGTGTGTGTGTGTGTGTGTTTATATGTATGTGTGGATATATCGTGTGTATGTATGTATATATAATGTATAATTTACATTATGTATTTTTGTATTTTTAAACAATGGCTCTCCAGTTATCCAGGAAATCCAAACATCTGAGAATAAAAGTACCATACTCTTTGCCAAGTGACTTGAAATATTGATACGTATAATTTCAACATGTAAACTAGAGACAGTTTTTCTAGGAGAACATGTAAGCTAAAATCAAACTGTGAAAAAACATACCTATGAAAGAGCCACCATGCTCAAATAAGGTGCGATCAGATGCCTCAGGATTTTCCTGTTAATATATATTTTCTGATTTTTATTTTATTCTCTCTTAACACCATAGAGAAATAGTTATGAGTATCAAAGATTTTAAGAAAATTATATTATTTCCTGCTGATTGGGAAAAGACACAGTTACTCCACTGAAGAATTAAATATATCATCAAGCTCAGAGGAAGACAGTCTTATTTGAGCTTTCAGTAAGAACCACTGGAACTAGTTTGTTGATAGCTGATATCAGATATAATTTCTAGCGTGAGTCTCAAGCATGAGTCACGTGTTAAGATAAGTAATGACAGCGGACTGATTCCATGAAGGCTGGGCTCGGATGTTCTTTAGATAGAAAGCAAGGAATACTTTTTTCATATTTTTAGGAATTGTCCAATTTTTCAGAGATTCTGAGAGAAACAGAAAATGTAATGTGTGAGTGTTGTTGTTGTTGTTGTTTTTAACTGGCTGATATCCTCTAAATCCGAAGGGTTAAAACCAAGGTACCCTTGATAACCCTCAGGCCTGCTTCTTTGACTGCTATAGAATTGAGTTGGAAGCTGAAGATTTTACCCCAGAGTTCCTGATAGCTGAACTCTGAAAGAGGGGAGAAGCTTTTCACAAGACTGATGTCATGTGGGAACAGAGGAGTGGAGAGCACATCCCAACGCCCCTCGGGTGGGGGCCTGTAATGCATTTGCACTCCTCCTGGAACGCTGTCGTTAAGCATCATTCAGTGGACCGAGAACTCTCGAGTCTCACTCCAGAGAAGTTGGATGGTGCTAGGAGGTTGTCCCGAGATGGACACAGGGGTTATGCAAAGCCCCACAGGAGGGCCCTTGTCATAGCCAGGAGGGCACCAGCCACCCCCAAGCTAAAGGAAGTGGGTGAACAGAAGTGCTAGGGTGAGCAGAAGCTCAGGCCAGATCCCGTCTCAGATCACCCGCCTGACAGGTCTAGGGAAGGGGCATCCTGCAGGCCTGTAAGCTGTCAGCAAAGTGAGTTGGGTCCCAGGCCATCACCAGGGAAGGCGCTGCTGTGACTGGGCAGGAAAACAGCAGAGCCGAGCTGCCAGCTTCCTGGGCTGAGCCTTGGGAGGGGAGGCGGGACCTGAGGAGCAGCTAGGTTTTACAGGCTCTCCACTTGCTCCCCCAAACTCTCCTGTTTTGTCCCTTAAGGGGCAGCCCCCCGAAGCACAGAGCTGGCCACCAGATGTTCGTGAGAGATGCTTAAGTAGGTCATCTTTATCTCCTTTTTATCCCAAAGAGTCTTCCTGGTCATATTTCAGCAGGGGCCATTTTATGGTAAGTCCTTGCAGTGCTGTGGAAGGCATCAGGCTCCCTGGGGGGGCCCTTCCTTGGCTCTTGCTTCACTGTAGATAAAGAAATCAGGAAACCCTTGTTGATTGTATCATCTCATCAGGGTAATTTGACAGTGAGTCATCAGGCATCGTCGGTGAAGTCCGGAGGAATCTGTTCGTGTTGTTTCAAAGGCCGTGAAGTCCAGGCGCAGTGGCTCATGTCTGTAATCCCAACACTTTGGGAGGCTGGGGCAGGTGGATCGCTTGAGGTCAGGAGTTTGAGACCAGTTTCACCAACATGGTGAAACCCTGTCTCTACCAAAAATAAAAAAATTAGCCAGGCCTGGGGGCGGGCGCCTGTAATCCCAGCTATTTGGGAGGCTGAGGCAGCAAAATCACTTGAACCCGGGAGGCGGAGCTTGCAGTGAGCTGAGATCGCGACACTGCACTCCAGCCTGGGTGACAGAGTGAGACTCCGTCTCAAAAAATATATATAAATAGAAAACCAAATAAAAGACCTTGAAGACTGTGGTGACCTAGGAGCAGGTGACTTGTTCCACAGAAACTGTCAGTCGTGAGAACCTGAACTGGCATGCCAGAAACATGGGATTCCACTGCTTCAGTGCGGTTTTTCTCCTTTACAGGAATTTGAAAGGGAAAAACACGCCCACAGTATACTGCAATTTCAGTTTGCAGAAGTCAAGGAGGCCCTGAAGCAAAGAGAGGAAATGCTCGAGGTAGGTAGCCTTCTCCTGCTTTTCTTTTCCTTTTTTCCCTTTGGAGCATTTTGTCAGACCATGACTATCTTAGCTTAGCTGCAGTAATGAAATACCATACACAGCATGGCTTAAACAACAGAAATTAATTTTCTCACAATTCTGGAGGCTGGGAGTCCAAGATCAAGGTTGGGTTCGGGTGAGGCCTCTCTTCCTGGCCTGCAGACAGCCACCTTCTTGCTGTATCCTTCCTCAAATGGTGGAGAAAAAGCAATCTCTCTGATGTCTCTTCATTTAAGGACACTAATGCTATTTGATCAGGACCCCACTCTTGTGACCTCATTTAACCTTAATTACTTCATAAAGACCCTGTCTCCAAATACAGCCACATTGGGCATTAGGGCTTCAACAGATGAATTTAGAGGGATACCATTCATTCATAGCAATTACTAAAGTTTTCAGTTTTCTTAAAACTGAGAGTTTAGGCTAACTCTCCATTCCTAGATTTACAAAACAGTCCCTCTCGTTGGTGGACATTCCTATTCTTTGGTGATCTTGTATTTGTTTTCAGAGGTGTGATAGACAGAATAATGGTCCCCCAAAGTTGTCCACCTCCAAATCCCTGGAAATTGTAAATATGATACTTACATGGTTCAAGGGCCCCTGCAGTTGTGATTAGAGACCTTGAGAGAAGGGATTATCCTGGATTATTTGATGGAACAAGGGTCCTTCTAAGAGGAAGGCAAGTCAAAGGCGGAAGTAGAGGATGTGACACAGGAAGCTGAGGTTGGAGTGATGCAAGAAAGGGGCCATGAGCCAAGGACAGTAACTCAGTCTTAGAAGCTGAAAAAGGCAGGGAAACAGATTCTCACTAGAGCCTCTAGAAAGGCCTGATTTTTAGCCCATAAGACTCATTTTGGATTTCTGACCTCTAGAATTACAAGAGAATAAATTTGTGTTTTAAGCTGCTGAATTTATGGTGATTCATTACAATGGCAATAAGAAACTAATACAGGGTTGATTTTTAATTTTTTGACTTATTCTTTAACTGCTGCCCTGAAGTGAGAATTTCACCCAAAGCAGGTTTTCTTCCTGCACTTGAAGCCAGGAGTAGGACGAGGAGAAAAATCTTAGAATGCCGGCGATGAATTCAGGGTTGTTGAGGTAAAAGGGTGCTTGCAGCCTCACTCACTGTCCCAGCTCTCAGGTTATCTCTTGGGCTGGGGTTTTTCTTCCTCTTTAACCCTTTATCTGCTTTCTATCTGTTCCTTTCCTCAGGAAATCCGACAGCTACAGCAGAAACAGGCGAGTTCTATCAGGGAGATTTCTGATCTTCAGGAAACAATAGAGTGGAAAGACAAAAAGATAGGGGTAGGATTCTCAAGTCTTGAAAATGTACTCAAATGGGCAGCCTGCTTAGCAAATAGAGTTTTTTCGCTTAGCAAATAGAGTTTTTTCAGAGTCTTTAGTTTGCAAAACCGCTTGTCTGCATGCAACTCCCACATGACACAAAGTTGTATTAATTTATTTAATTTTATTACGTAGTGAATACGCTAACTTATCCAAATTGATATGAACTTGGAATGTGACATGGACTGTCCACGGAGGGTCTTGTGAATGCGTAGCCGTGCTGTCTGCCTGCCCCGTGGGTGGGCCGGGCCAGTGGTTGTTGAAACACCTGGAGTGAGGAGGGCGCTCTGGGGAGGTCTGATGTGTGCAAGGCCAGACTTCTTGGGATTAACTGCCTGGCGGTGCTTTGAGAAATAAATCTAAGCACCACCTGGCAGATATCCCCACCTTGAAATCTTCCCCAGGGAAGGCCTCCACATACCCTTCTCCCTCCACAAGAAGGGAAGAGGCAGTTCTACACTTAGAATTGAAGAATGGGGGGAACAGAACCCCACAAAGTAACTGTTGTGATTCGTAACGACAAATGGTTTCCCCAAAATAGTGATTGATACACCCAGCTCTGATAAAGACGTCGAGATACTTGTACAAACTGTCGGCACATTGACTCAACAAGCCACACCGTGTTTCCACTGTCGTGCTCATCAGCACTTAGGATTGTGTGTATGTGTGTGCACGCACGCACACTTTAGGACCACTTTGTTTATCTGAGACGATGGATACCAAGAATCAATGTGTAAAAATAGTCTAAATGGCTGCAACAGCTGTTCTGGGAGGTGCTTAAGTAATCCTTTTTCTTTATTGATCCCTCATTCAAGTGGAGACTTTGCTTAACTCTAATGCAGCTGTGAACACGCAGACAACGCTAGAAAGTGATGCAAATATAGTAACCTCTGGGACCCCGTGCTGTGTTTGTGTGCTTCCGAATGCGCATGTCTTTCATGGAGTATGAACAGTAACTTTTCTTGGATTATATATACTAAGTGAAAAGCTTAATACGTGGATTTTGTTAGTATCTTTGGGCAGAGTCTCTTTAATGTCTAGAGTCCACTAGTGTTTTAGATGGTAGAAGCCTCCTTCTGGTTCCCGCTTCTGAAGTAACTTGCTCATCTCTGCAAATCTTCCTTCTCTTGGCTCTGCTGCACACTCAGGCGTTAGAGAGGCAGAAAGAGTTCTTTGATTCCGTAAGGAGTGAACGGGATGATCTTAGAGAAGAAGTAGTCATGCTGAAAGAGGAATTAAAGGTATGAAGCCAAAGTACAGTTTTATAAAAAAAAAAATCCTGGTGACAACAGCAAATTTTGGGATTCTGTGAATATGTGTTTACATAATTAATTTTATGTCATTGAGCTTAGTTCTGTTAATGATTCATATCTTGGGTTAACTGACACCGATGAGATGTAAAATAAATGTAGATTCAGTGGGTGGTGCCCAAGGTCTTTTGATGTTAATAAACATAGCTGATCTTGAACACAAGAATTTTTTGATATATTATCTAAATTTTTCTCATACTCATTAAAAATCTCCAGGATATTACTCAGACTTAGAGAATTAATTTGCCTCTTTATATTAAAACCCCCAATTTAAGGACTTCTCTAGATGAACAGTGACTTGGGTAAGTGATTTGAGCAAGGATCCCGCTAATTAGACTTTGAGACCTACTAGATTACAGGTGGAAGAAGGTTCCCTGTCCTTTGTGGGCCATGCTAAGGCGTCTTCATGGGCTGCTTGACACAGGTGAAGTGCCAATGGCAGCACTCTGGGTGGGAGTTTCCTGAACTGTCACCATCTGCTGCTTGGCCTCCAGGGTCAAAGCCAGAGCAGTGAGCCAGCCAGGTACAGGCTTAGAGCTAAGATTCGTAATTCTGCTCCTCAAAGAGGCGATCAGTACAGGGAAGTTCCTCACACACAAGGGAGAGAGACGCGGGCGGCAGGAGGGCGTGGGTGAGTGATGTCTGCAGTTGCGAAGTGCCACTGTTTTCAGTGAATTCTGTTTCTTTTGAATATACTGAACGTTCTAGCCACCTCTTAATTCCTTCTTTAACGTAAGTTTCATATGCCCCTTTCAGAACATGTGTATATTTCTTTCTTTATCTGGCTCTTCTTTTTAAAGAATGCAACCAGGGTTTTAAAATGAAAGGTTGCATGACAGTGCCTTGCTTACCACTCCACTTCACTTGGGGGCAGCCCACAGGCCACTACCTGTAGTTGAAAAGGATGCCTGGTGGAAGTAGCTTGTCACCAGCAAATGAAGGCATGGATTGGAACATCTGAGAAAGAAGTAGCCTTTAGAGGACGATATCCCAGATTTGTGTGTGTTGACTGAATATTTACGAGCGCTGCGCCCTAGCAGTTCTCTGTCTCTGTGGAGTTACCCTGTACTTCAGGAAAAAGTGGTTTTCTTTTCTTTTTTGTTAATTGTATTAAAGCAGAGTTCAACCTAATATCACTGAGTAAATATTACGATGAGCCTATTTTTGTTCCCAGAAACACGGAATAATCCTAAATTCAGAAATAGCTACCAATGGAGAGACTTCCGACACTCTCAATAATGTTGGATACCAAGGTCCTACCAAGATGACGAAAGAAGAGTTAAATGCCCTCAAGTCGACAGGGGATGGGACCCTAGGTAAGTATTTGGTTTCCTTCGGCTTCTTCCGCCTTTCCACTCAGCATTGGTTCACCCTCCATGTGCTGTTGGGGTTGGAGCCACTGTCACTGATGGGTTAACAGTCACCGGCATGCCATTTGTTTCATCACTTCATGGTAATTTCTTTACCACCGGTGTGGTCACCCACGTGTTGTCTGGCATGCATCTCTGTGTAGTGCACCATCAATGGCTCAAGTATATCTTTTCTTTTGCTGCTCAAAGCTACCAAGCAAGACTGTGAAGGCAAGGAAAATAGTCTCAAAATTAAGTAACAATGTGGAGAGCACTATTTGGTTTTCCTCAGACACATATATATCTGTACATATAAAGTGTGGCTTTTTAAACTGATTCTGTGACAGAATTATCAAAAGATCAGAATAGTCGAGGCTGTCAAGTCAGTAAGTTGGCCATATTTGCAAGCCAACATCAACATCCTGGGCAGCATTCAGCGTTTTGAGGGCACGGGGTGCCTGTGGACAGCAGGTCCATCTGTGTTGCCGTTTTCAAGCCACGCTCGAGGTGGGCAGGCGGCCATGGTAGGGGTGTAGCCGTGCTGAGTGTCTGAGTATGCCCACTTTTGTCAGAGGAGATCCTCCTTTGTATGCCATGTGTTTGCTTCTGAAAGAATATAAAACTGGGGACTCCAGTAGATTAGAGGAGTATTTTATACCATTTTCAATGACCTGATTTGTCATAATTTGTCATAAGAGTTGGCTTTGGGAGGAACCTTCAGATTCTGGCGTGCAACCTGAAGTTGCAGCACGCAAGTGAGGCCTCATCTGTCACTGGTCACCCTCTGCGTTCCAGTGTTTCACAAGGAGGCTGGAATAAGGTCAGGGTCCATGACTTTTCGTTTTAATTTAGAAACTTTCATCTTACTGCTTTTTATTTATGGAAACGTAGACACCTCCAGGCCCCATCTTCTCAGGACTTGCATTCCAGGGAGATACCTCATTCATTATCTTTATGACTATTAAAGAAACACAGCTCTTTTCAATTGTGTAAAAAGTTGTGGCCAATTGCAGTGGCTAACACTTCTAATCCCAATGCTGCGGGTGCCAAGACTGGAGGATCACTTGAGACCAGGAATTCCAGGTCAGCCTGGCAACATAGCAAGATTCCATCTCTAGATATGTATATAATATCTGTATGCCATTGTTGAAAAAAGATAAATAAAGAAATTTCCATCATACCTTTATATGAGCTACCCAAACAGCTAGGAATTTGATTATGCTGCTGTTCCTAAATCTTTGATAACCATTGTGAAATGTTTAAAGAACCAGAAATGTCAGTTTTGAAAGTGGCCTTCAAATGACTTTTGATCACACATTCCTTCAGTAAATAATTGTAGGAACTTTCCAATATATACATTTATTTTAAATCTATATATGTATACTATTTCATTAGTATAAAATGTACATTTAAAGCATATAAAAACATATGCAAAGAAGTTTTAGAGTAAAACTCTAAATAGAATTCCTATTTCCTCCATTTTCCCTGGGATACGGGCACCCCACCATGGAGACCACTGGGCTATAAAATTATCTAGCTTTGACTTTCAGTAACATAGTACTATATCTAATCTGCTGAGGTTTTGTTTGGAGAATCCAAAAATTCCAAAACAGTTTGATGTTCTTTAGACGATGAATAATTTATTTAATTTGCGGTCATCTTAATCTTTCAACATTTGCCTCCTTCTGGTCCTCTCTCCCTAGTCCCTTAGGGAATGGAGCAGAGGTATCAGGGCACGGACACAGGGTGTTTTCTCAGAAAGAATGGTTGAGTCGCAGAAGCCAGATTTCTTTTCATATGAGCTATTTCAAAAGCATCTTCCTTGAGATTGACCTTGAGGCTGCATTTCTAAAAGTGCACTGAATATTCTTTGAAAAAATTACTTGCAAGCTGCTTTTAGGGCTGTGTGACATGCAGTGCAGTTTGACAGCTGCAAAAATACAAGTTGTCGAGTTGTGTGTTGAGAAGTGAGAGTGGGAAATTGCACCTTCAGTCCATTCCTAAACCCATCATTGTGGATTGTTTGGCTGCCTGATCCAGAGTTCTTTCTATTTGTCAAAACTTCACCTTTAAAAATCTGTCCACACAAGATGGCACCAGCAGCCACTCTGGCCTTTGATGTGGTGGCAGTGGCCCTCACTGACCCAAAATTTACTAATGCAACTGCTGCTTTGCCGCACAGAACTGGCAAAGGCTTGTTTCTTGTGACTCTTTGATGACTCTCTTTAGGAATAGGGGTGGGAGGGATTTAGAACATGTATTTACATTCTAATGTAAATTATGTGGCCACCACATCATGGGGTCCCTTCAATTTTCTCAATGGTCTTTTAGGAAGAGCCAGTGAAGTGGAGGTGAAAAATGAAATCGTGGCGAATGTGGGGAAAAGAGAAATCTTGCACAATACTGAGAAAGAACAACACACAGAGGACACAGTGAAAGATTGTGTGGACATAGAGGTATTCCCTGCTGGTGAGAATACCGAGGACCAGAAATCCTCTGAAGACACTGCCCCATTCCTAGGAACCTTAGCAGGTGCTACATATGAGGAACAGGTTCAAAGCCAAAGTCTAGAGAGCACTTCTCTCCCTGAAAACACAGCACAGGCTGAGTCAGATGAGGTCATGGGTGCACCAGATGACAGGACCAGAACTCCCCTTGAGCCATCCAGCTGTTGGAATGACTTAGATGGCGGGAACCACACAGGGAATGTGGGAGAGGCAGCGGCGACTCAGGTTGGAGAGCAGGCAGGCACAGTGGCCTCATGTCCTTTAGGGCGTAGTGATGACACAGTTTATCATGATGACAAATGTACAGTAGAGGTCCCCCAAGAGTTAGAGACCAGCACAGGGCATAGTTTAGAGAAAGAATTCACCAACCAGGAAGCAGCTGAGCCCAAGGAGGTTCCAGTGCAGAGTACAGAAGTAGGTAGGGATCACAACGAAGAAGAGGGTGAAGAAACAGTATTAAGGGATGAGAAACCAATCAAGACAGAAGTTCCTGGTTCTCCAGCAGGAACTGAGAGCAATGGTCAGGAAGTGACAGGTCCAAGTACAGTAGACACTCAAAGTGAATCCTTAGATATGAAAGAGCCTGAGGAAGAAAAGAATGACCAACAGGGAGAGGCACTGGAGTCATCGCAGAAGAAGACAAAGAACAAGAAAAAGAAAAACAAGAAGAAAAAATCCCCAGTACCTGTAGAAACCCTTAAAGATGTTAAAAAAGAGTTAACTTATCAGAACACAGATTTAAGTGAAATTAAGGAAGAAGAGCAGGTAAAGTCTACTGACAGAGAGTCCGCAGTGGAAGCCCAAAACGAGGCGCCTGAAAATCCAAAACAGAAAATTGCGGCAGAAAGCAGTGAAAATGCTGATTGTCCGAAGAATCCTAAAATTAAGTTGGCTGGAAAACTTGACCAAGAAGGCGATGATGTAAAAACAGCAGCTGAGGTGGTACTAGCTGATGGAGCCACATTAGATTTTGAGGATGACACAGTTCAATCATTAGGCCCGAGGGCTGGTGGTGAAGAATTAGATGACGGTGTTGCAAAAGATAAAGCTAAAACAGATGGCGCCACTCAAAGCAGTCCCGCAGAACCAGAGAGTGAAGACGCAGATAGCTGCGCCCTGCCCGAAAATGAAAGTCCCTCACAGGACATTAGCGATGCCTGTGAAGCAGAAAGTACAGAGAGGTGTGGGATGTCAGAACATCCAAGTCAGACTGTCAGGAAAGCTTTAGACAGCAATAGCCTAGAAAATGATGACTTGTCGGCACTGGGAGGAGAGCCGGGGGACTTCAATCCAGAAAGCAGAGAAGATACCAGAGGAGGGAATGAGAGGGGCAAAAGCAAAGAAGACTGTACCATGTCCTAAGCTGAGGCAGGCGGCAGGTGTGGTGCCCAGGAAGTCTGAGTGTGAGGGGCTCTTTTCTCCACTGCCAATGTAAGCAGAATGTTGTAAGTTCATAGAGGTGCACTGTATGCCCATCACCAGGTGATCTGCTGCTTTAAGTTATAGACTGTTACTTGTAGATTTCCATGTAATCATTGAGGTTATCACCCAGATTAGAAAGACATATTTGTTACCAGTGTACGTTCTAATTGAGAGCATTCCAGTAGTATCAAACAATAATGTCTACTGTTTATAGTCCACTTAATAAAATAGAAGCATTTACCATTTGCCTTAGGCTGATAGGAATGTGGATATTCTTGACCAAATATATCAGCATCTAATTGAAATGACCAAATAGCATTCTTAGACTTATGTATTATGAATATAATTGATATTTAATGTCTTGTTCACATATGTGTATTTTCATATTTGATTTTAAAATGTACATTATAACCTGTATGGTATTTTATTTAAAGGGGATAAACAGCCAAATAGCAAATAGGTCACTGAATGATAAGATTTGCACCTTAGAACAATAGTCATTTTAAGGATAACAAGTAAACGTCTGAAAGCACGAGGGGCTTTGTTTGCCTTCACCTCATAGAAGTCTTTGATCTTGAACCAATGCTTTTGGATCTCATTGTTGATATACCTGAATTTACTCTGTAGGAGATTTTAACTTCACTTCATACTGATGATGTATCAATTTCATTTTATAGAAAGATTTAAAGGTTTTTTTCTGGTAGTGATATATGTCAAATTACATTTCCTACTGCAGTATTTGAGCAGGGACAGTCATTTTTTAAATGTTTTTGGCTGGGCGCGGTGGCTCACGCCTGTAATCTCAGCACGTTGGGAGGCCGAGGCGGGTGGATCACCTGAGGTCAGGAGTTTGAGGCCAGCCTGGCCAACATGGTGAAACCCTGTCTGTACTAAAAATACAAAAAATCAGCCAGGTGTGGTGGTGGGTGCCTGTAATCCCCGCCATTCTGGAGGCTGAGGCTGGAGAATCGCTTGAACCTGCGAGGCAGAAATTGCAGTGAGCCGAGATCAAGCCGTTGTACTCCAGCCTGGACAACAAGAGCGAAACTCTGTCTAAAAAAAAAAAACACGGCCGGGCGCGGTGGCTCAAGCCTGTAATCCCAGCACTTAGGGAGGCCGAGACGGGCGGATCACGAGGTCAGGAGATCGAGACCATCCTGGCTAACACGGTGAAACCCCGTCTCTACTAAAAATACAAAAAACTAGCCGGGCGAGGTGGCGGGCGCCTGTAGTCCCAGCTACTCGGGAGGCTGAGGCAGGAGAATGGCGTGAACCCGGGAGGCGGAGCTTGCAGTGAGCTGAGATCCGGCCACTGCACTCCAGCCCGGGCTACAGAGCAAGACTCCGTCTCAAAAAAAAAAAAAAAAAAAAACAAAAAAAAAACACAAAACAATGTTTTCATGCCTGTAACCCTAGCACATTGGGAAGCCAAGATGGGAGGATCACTTGAGGCTAGGAGTTCAAGGCTGCAGTGAGCTGTGATTGCACCACTGTACTCTAGCCTGGGAGACAGAGTGAGACCCTGTCTCTTAAAAAAAAAAAAAAAAAGATTTTGAACCTTAAAATTACTTCTCTTTGTTTGAATTTCTAATCATCATTCAAAAGAGCAGTAAAAAAAGGTTACTTGTTCTTGTACAAACTACTAATTAGACTATAGTAGAATATTCTGAAGAGCTGAATCACTTTTGGTATTTTGGTATAAATATTTTCATTTGTTATGTCCCAGTGTATTCTTATTGGAAAATTCGTGTTTTGATCTGCCTGAAGAAAATATCTGTTTTCTATATAAAGAAACATTTAAAAAATAATTGTAAAGTTAGATTTAAAATTGTAAAATATAAAATCACAAAGGAATGTACCTTATGAATGTTGACATTTTATGAAATTATGTGGATTCATATTACTGTTACAAGATAGAATTTAATGCAAAAAGACCAAAACCTCAATAAAATTTGAGGACATCGTAAGTGTTGTTATGTAACTGAAATAAAAACATTTTATAATTGTACAAGACTGTGGTTCCACTCTTTGGGCTGCTTGAAGTCTGAGTCTGACTACTGTTGTATGTTATACCACCTTTCCAGTAATACCTGCTTGCGGGTTGCTGATTCCCATTGGGGTCCTGTGGAAGACCCACACCTGATGCCCGTCCTCAGTAAGGAATGCACTTCCCTCCTGGCATCGAGCCTGGGGCTAGCATGAGCATTACTGGGAAAATTGAGACGATCGTCTCGCACCATCTCCTGTGATCTGTGGTTCTAATGTGCAGCCTCAGTTGAAAACGGTCTTCATCTGTTGCTGTGCTTGAATGCACCAATACTTAGAATGTTTTGAAGAGTATGATGAAAATGGAAAAAACCTTGACTATTTCTGCTCAAGTGGAGGGTGGTAGGGATGATAAATGCTTGCTAGGAAATCAAGTCCAAGGGCTCTATAGGACTTCACAGGGTTTTAGTTTATGTCTCTAACTTTAGCAAAGCTGCATTCATATTGGAATGCATACTGGAAACAGCTCTCATTCCTACCTTTAAAGGGCTCTTGGAAAGCAGTTCAACAACCAAGGTCACTAAATGGTGAGATCATCAAGCCATTTTAAGTTCTTTCCCATGTTATTCACCAGCACCGTGCAGGACGTTGGGCACACGTCACATCCCTCAGCTCAGCCATCCAGCCGTCTCAGTGATTCACCACTCATTTTTTTAATTAATAAACAGGTTTGATCACTTTGTACATGGAAGGCACTGTACCATTGAACAAGCGGCTAGGACCCAGCCCTCCAGTAGGGAATGGGCAGCTGAAAATCCGTGAGCAAAAAAGAAGGAAAAAGAAAGACTTCTGAGGAGCCAAGCCATTTCTCGATGATTTCAGAGCCTTCGTTCTGAGCATCAGTTATCTGCTCTCCAGTGTAATGACTTTATAGCCAAGCCCAGTAATTGATATTACTGTGAAGGCTCTTAACTTACCAAGAAATGGTTGAGGCTGGGCACATTGGCTCATGCCTATAATCCCAGCACTTTGGGAGGCCGAGGTAGGTGGATCACTTGAGCCCAGGAGTTCAAGCCCAGCCTGGGCAACATGGTGAAAGTCCATCTCTACAAAAAAAATACACAATTAGCCAGGCCTGGTGGCATGCACATGTATTCCCAGCTGCTTAGGAGGCAGAGGTGGGAGAAACATCTGAGCCTGGGAGGTCGAGGCTGCAGTGAGTTGTGATCACACCGCTGCACTCCAGCCTGGGCAATGGAGTGAAACCCTGTCTCGAAAAAAATGAAAGAAAAGAAAGAGAAAGTTGACTTAGCTATACTCCATGTAAGAAAGTATAGAAATATATAGGGCAATTTAGAAAGATTTTGGCGTCAAAAGATTCAAACTCAGAAAAGAATCGAAAGGTTGCCTTCCAGCCATATCCCCAGAGGAACTTAGACCACTGGGGTTTCACTATCATACAGAATAGAGAAAAACATTGGTTACTGACACCTGAAATCAAAAAGCATGGATATTTTTCAGTCCCAAACCCGAACATAGCTCCCATATATAAATGTAAATCTTCCTTCAAAAGTATAATTAAGTATAATTATGGGTGTCTGTCAAAAATACAGAGGAAGATGGATTTTGAATTATAGGTGGTTATACAAAGGTTGGACAGCAATCAAGTTTTTAAACAGTTTTCAAGAATGACCTTAAAAGAGATGTGTGACCTTGGTCACTTTCCATAGTTTTTAATACTTGCAGTTAACAGAAGGCCTGATGACCTGACACTTAAGTTTCCACTATCACTAGGACCCTGAATGCTAATTCTGGGGAGTTTAGATGGTTTGGGGTTCCTGTTTTCTGTTGATAGACTCCCTTTCTGGGAGACCACCCCCTAACCCTGTACAGCATGCCACCCATGGCCACCCGCCAAGGGAACACAACAGTAAGATTTGTTCCAGACGTCTGGGCCCCTAAGGGAAAGGGAGGGGTGTCTGTGTGTGCATGTATTATGTTCAGAATATGTACTTGTTCAGTGTGATAGTTGTACATGGAGAAAACTTTGTCTTTCAAGAAGAAAATCCTTCTGTTCTCTTTGTCCCTATCTACTGCCTCTCTTAAATATTTTTCAACATGTGAACGACTGGTGGCTCATACAGGGAAAAATTTCCCAATTATACAGACATTATAAGTCTACCAGTGATGTGCCACTATTTATTCAACAAATTAGACGTGGTGGTTTTTAACGCTATGAAAACTAGTACTCTTATTTTCTTCATGTCAAATTATTTTGCTTCATTTCTTTTTCTGTTTTCTTCAAACTCTTTCGTTCTTGTTTTCTTCTCCAAGTCTCCTTTAAAATTTCTCTTCCTTGAAAGTTTCTTCTCTCTCTATTTTTAATATTCTCACTATACAACTCAATGTCAGTTTACCTATATCGATTTTTCTTGCGCTCTTATTACATTTTAACAGTTACTTTCTAGTGCTTATCTAGAATATTTGAAGTTTTCTAGAAGAAAACAATAATTTACTATAGATACTTGAGCTTCAAGATCACATTCTGATATATTCAGTGTTTCTTATGATGCCTGTAGTTTTTGTATGTAGGAGTATTAAAACATGTAAGAAAATGAATAGTGATACTGGACAAAAGAATCAGGTTTATAACTGCAAAAATGTTTTTTTTCAGTGTTGGGTGGGTTACGGGAGGGAAAGAGTAAAACATCTGTCAGAAGTAATTTGACTATAAATTAAAATAGAACTCAAAAGGATGATAAATTTAATTTATATTGTGCTTAATATTATCTGGTGTTTTACTGTGCCTTTCAAAACAACAACTTAGGATCTTCGGAAAACATAATTAGAGAAAAATGTAACTTGGATTAGCATGTGGCTAGATGATTTTTTAAATGAAAATGAAGATGCATTTTATATGAATTATTTTCTTTTCACATGGCTAATCAAGGTTGGTTTTTCATTCTGCGAAGAATCTAGAGGTAGACCACGTGAGAGCAGCATCCCAGTGGGCTAAGAGCTTTGAGTCAGGGTCTGACTCAGAGGTGTGAGTTTAGATCTGGAAAAATAGTGGGTGCCCATTAGGGGCATGTTCCTGTGGTTGGGCTGCAAGGCCTTAAGAAAATTGCTTAGTGGTTCTAGACCTCTGAGCCTCATCTATCGAAGGAGGCGTAATGAAGCCCACCCATAGGGCTTCCAGAGCTGAAACAAGCTAATGATGTCAAAGCTGCTAGAACTGTACCTGTGTCAGAGTGAGTGTGCAGCATACATTATCACTGTCATCACTCCAGCATTCTGACTGTGCCTTTACACTAGTGTGGGATTTTGCCCAAACCTCTAAACCCTCCCCAAGCTGTGGTTTCCCCCACCCAGTCCGAAGACTGTAGTACTTGACCCTCCTTCAGAGAGATGTTTGGGTAATTTATAGACACTTAACATTTATGCATCTTTATATATCGGGGGTGGGAGGAATTACAGACACTTAAACCATTGCTGCCTTCTTCCTCAAAAGAATAACACCTTTGATAACTGGGTTAGCAGAGGTGTTAGTGGACTTAGGGTTGTAAACAGATAGTCACAGCACTGACATCGATGAGTCTATGACAGACATTAGAAAGATAAAGAAATCTGGGATGTAAACTCGGAAAGGCAAGGCTGTTCAAAATGTTGGTGCTATTGAACTGGGATTCTCGGTGTCTGTACATTGCTCATGATGTTAAACCATGAAGCCTGTGAGATCTTG